GTATCATTCAAGTACACCTAAAACTCTTGTGTAGTAAAAAGTAAATAAACGCCTCAACTTATATTTTCTGATATAGACGGTAACGATTTCTGTAACGTACCTTTAATTTAAATTTAAATTAATGATTTATTTTCATGAGAAGAAATTGATCGGGGATCGTGGTCAAATAAATATTAAATTTAAAAAAAATAGTATTTTTAATTGTTACGCCGACGTTTATCAACGTTACGTTACTCCGTTTATCAACAACGTTACTCCGGCAGTCTATCAACTGCTTCCTGCAGTACAACATGCCAGGCTCTGATAAAAGACCTGCAAGGTGGGTCGAAACGTCGGCTTAACAATTAAAAGTACTATTTCTGAAAAATATAGTATTTATTTGACCGCACCTCCCGACCAACTCCTTCTCATATTATAGCACGGTCAACCATCTCTACATCATTTATTTTCATGATTTAACTTACACATTCGTAAATAAAATCACCAGAAACAGTTGAACCTACACTTTCTGAAATTGACAGATGTCCGTCCTTCTTTGATATGGAGCAACTCAAATGTTTTCCTTTAACCAATTAAAAGCCTGACAGTTTATTTATATTATTTAAAAGCTGTTGTTCTTTTTTTTTCGAAAAAAAAAATTAGAATTGCACAATATCGAAGATCAGAAATAGATGGGAATCCATTTATTATCCGTTTTACGCCACAAGAACACGATTATGGAGATTTCCAAGATGCACGATTTTTTTCCGCTTCATTATGTAACTCGTGATTTTGAGTTCTATTGGAGTTGAGGTAGAACAATGCCATAAAAATCAGGCAAATTTCGTGAAATATTTGCATTTCCTGTTCGCCTTATTTCATCGGGTTTTTTGTATTGAGCTCCTCAACAGCCTCTCCAAAAATATTATATGGCTCTGTTTTCTATTGGTGGGTGTGATTTTCATGTCCATTGGAATCATGAAAGCGTCTCCACGGTTTCATACGGATTGCAATTAACACTTTGCTATATTCCAAGTTATGTTTTTGTTTTTTAAACCTTTTAAAGGTTTTCTTAGACGTTGCTCTAAGAGGTTAAACTTATCGCTCCAGTTTCGCGTCCGTAAAGAAGGAAAAATAGCCTTCATAACTGTGGATTAATGGTTGATTGTAGTGGATAATACAAGAGAAGATTGTTTGTGGGTTATTAGTCAAAGAAAATGTAAAAATAAATAAATATACTTATATATTTTTACGAGAAGGAGTTAGTCGGGGGTGCGGTCAGATAAATACTAAATTAAAAAACAGTAATTATTTTATTTTAATTTTGCCGACGTTTCGACCCACTTTGCAGGTCGTCTTCAGGGCGTAGGATGCAGTTGAAACACTGGCCGTTTATTTATTTTTACATTTTCTTTGACCGATCACCCCAACCAATCTTCTCTTCAAAAATAGTATTGTATGTTGTAACTTATAAGTTTCCGGACAGTAGAAGCGAATTAAGTAATATTAGTGGAAGACAATCAGAACATCTTTTTTTTTTTTTTATTTGTTATATTTTATTTGGAAGTAAGAAAACTAAAAATAAATTAAAACATATAAATAACTAAGAAGCAAAATCAATAAAATACGCATAATTTGTAAACTAAAAATATATAAATATTTTCATCTATTTGTGTATTTGCTCAGATTTTTTTTTTTTTTTTTTTTTTTTGAAAACGTTACTTATACTGCGAGACGATTTGTCATAATAGTTATCGGATAAGTTGTCAGCTTTCTTATCGTTCCTTATGGTTTATTATCTAAATGTAATATTGGATAGCAATGTCGCTGCTGACGTCAGCCTATGATTAAAGCTCTCTTCTTCCTGAAGGATAAATAACTTTCTAAATAGGAGAAAGTTATTATTGAGTAAGTGCGATTTTTTATAATAACGTTAAATTTATGATTCGGGCCAAGGATCTGCGCAGAAGAGAGGGGAAGACGTACAATTGACGATAAATCAAGTAAAAGTGGGCTTCATAACTTATATGAAATATAGAACAAATAATTAGCTTTTCGAATTTATTTAATGTGATACAGGATTTTTTTTCCCATTTTAATAAAAAATTTTAACTGTTGAAATACGATTTCATGTTTGTATTGGAGAGAGAAAAGCCCTTATCTTTCGACGTCTGCCTCGTTTTTTTTTACGTTAGCATAACAAAAACAAGTTCTTTGTTACAGAAATCGCCTTTCACAAATATAAATCTTCAACCTTTATTTTTTTTAACGATATTTATTTATTCAGAATTTATCTTTAGGAAGAAGTGCCCTATAGAAATATAATCTCTTTTCTATATAAGAAACATTACATTAATTTTTTTATATAATAGCATTAATATAGATATTTTATTTTGATGAACAAACTCTAAACTAAAAATTAGTCAACTAAAATATTACAAGGTAAAAATAATATTAGTAATTCAGCATATGCTTATAAGCAAAAACCAATGAAATAAAATGACAAATTATTTTTTTATTAAAAATATTATTAAAATGGAACAATTTAAAATTTAATTAAAATTTAAAATATCTATGATCAGGGCAAAAGTCATGATAACCCATAATAAAATCCAAAAGATTTTCTAAAGACTGTTATTATCAAGAACTATTTTAATCATTATACATTTAAGATAAACAAGACAGTTATTGACACCCTTAAGGCAATATTTATACAATAAACTCATGAGAAAATATTTCTACTTAATTGAAATTCATTGATTTCTTTTTCTTAAGCTCAAGTTTAGGATGAATAAAAGATTCCATACCAAAAATATCTCTGGAAGACATTTTGTAGCAAAATCACTTATAGACACACAAACATACCTTCACTATTACTATGTAATAACCTTTTTACATGTTTACAATTAGAAAACCTTTTATCACAGCTGATTTCTATGATTCACTAGAAATGTTCCCTCCCTTTATTCGAAACGGAACATTTTAATACTTTTTTTTATAATTGTGAATTAAATAATTGTGAAGTTGGAGGTTTAAAATTTTCTTTGGCAAATCTTTAGATGTTCATCATTCATTAAATCTTTATTACTAAAAAAAAAAAACTTCAAGAAACACATCGCCATATATGTTGATAGTACCGCTTAACTCATTTTTTTCTTAAATCTCAATCGAATGCTATACATTAATATATCAAACATATCAAATACACATCTTAAAATTGGGCAATAAAATGAATGTAAATAAATTACAAGAGAGAAATTAAACTGTGGTGAAAGTATATATAGATAAATTAAGTTGAAATGTGCTATAAATAAAAAAATAAATAAAGCCATTAAGAGATAAATAAGTCTGTTTTAACCTTATGTAAAGTTGGAAGAATTGAGTTAGGCGATGTTTAGAACATGCATGACCGTTTGTATAATGTAATATATTAAAATAAATACATATATATTGAAATAAAAAAGTACAGCTTTCTCATATTATCTATGTTTTTTTGGTTTAAATATTTCGAGCCCATTAAGGTTTTTAACATCCCTTGTTGGATACCCTACCATTATATAAGCATAGGTATAAAGGGGCATTCTACCAATATATAATAATTTGTTTAGTTCTTTTTTTATTGGATACTTTGCTTCATTATTATGGATTAATTTTGACAAATGAACGCTAACTGAAATGTTAATAGGTTTTTTGGTCGATTACTTTATAAAATATAACAATCGGAAATTCAACGTTTGTTTAAGATCTTTGATTTCTAGAAATATTTTATGTATATTAACAAGATGATATAACTTGGGTGGTTTATTATCAAAGTCCACCCACCATAATCAACATTGATAGATTTTCAGAAAACGCAAAAAACTGTATGTTCTATCGCAATAGTAATACCAAGAGCGATATATTTTAAATTATAAATCAAGATTTTTTTTCTTAGTAGAAAAAACATTGAAACTTAATTATGGGTTCTATTAGAAAGAATTAAACTTCAAGGCTCCTTTTTTAACAGAAAAAAAGATTAATTGAGGATCGGCTTAGCGAGAAAAAAATATTGTATGATTCGTGGGGGGAGGGAGAGGAGAGGGAGAGAGGGAGTGATAAAAATTGTCCGATAAATAATTTAATTTTTTGTTTCCAAAAATGGTGGGAGCAGGCTTGCACAGTGGGTTATGCACTGGCTTCCAAAGCTCAAGGTCCCTGGTTCAAATACGGCTAATGACAGATGAATTATTTATTCTGTTTCATCGGCCGTGGATGGACCCTCGGGTTGAGAGACGTGAAGCCTCTATAACGTGGAAATTAATTAAGAGGAAAAAGTTGGTGATCGTGCGTGATCTCGGTCAAATCATCACCTTGCACAACCGTTGACCTAGAAACACTACTTTTCAACACAGTACTGACCCAAGACCCTTGGGTTGTAATGGTGTTTTTTTTTTTACATTAATGTTACAATGAAATAAATTTAATTTTAATTTTCATTTCTGATCGACGCATATTAAAAAGAAAATGGCCGAGGGACCTACTACAATAAATATAAAGACAATAAAGTTTTCATTCCAATAAAACGGTTAAAAATTTTTTGATGGATTATTCTTGTAAGAAAGGTGTTCTTACAAGAAATGCAAGTTTCATAACTTTCTTCGAAAAAAATACCTGTTTCGCAACTGAACTTATTTTCGCACCTTTTTTTTAAGTTAGGTTTATTTTTGAAAAAAATAATAACAGCACCACCAGATTCATTGGAGTTTTTTAGTTTTTATGGAAATCGTTACCTCACTCGATTTTCAAAAATGTCGATAAGGATTCATGCAGAAAACAAACGAATCGCTTATTCATCTTTCACATCTCAGAAAAATATAATACGACAGAGGCATAAATACCGACTAACTGCAAAATGAAGATTCAACGAAAAAAAAAAAAAGAAGTAGTAATGGGTTGAATTCAATTAAGGTACTGTTACCTCCTAAGTGAGATCCGTTACTGGGAAGAGATGTAAAAAGTAGATTGCTCCATGAAACGACCTAATGGGAGAGGACAACAGTCACTACTGCCTGGCTGGCTGTCTAAGGTTCATCGGATCCGCTGAGCTAGGTTCGGCTTCTGAGTCATCTTTCGTAGAGCACAGCACAATTTGTGGTCAGCCAGCTCTGGAAGGCTTGGTGTTTGTAAGGGGAAGCGACAGCTAATGATAAACTAGTGGAAGAGTGTTTGTGTTGCTTTAAATCGAAAAATCACTTAAAAAACAAAGTCAAACTGGCTGGTTTGTTGTTGTATAATAAAGGCGTGAAACCCGTTGGTTATCAACACCGTTAATTAAGATCATATTAATTATATCTTCTAGTTGTGAATAATAGCAATAAAATAATATTAAAAAGACGTAAAATGCAAGTCAAGTTTAAATTAACTTAAGTTTAGTTATTTAAAACTGGCACAATAAGTCAAAAAAGAAAGAAGAAAGAAAAAAAAGAGGAAGGGGAGTGATGTTTGAGGGATTCAGAGATTTTTAAATATTCCTTCTTCATAGAGAAAACATATGATTTTACTCAGGATTTTTTTTGTCATTTCCCAAAGCAGTTGACGTATAATAAAACCATTTCTGTTTCTATTATGTTTATATCTGATTGTATTATATTATTATACTGGCTTTATCCGGGCGCTGCTGTGGCTTAGCCTGGCAAAATGGCTAAAAAGAAAGAAAATAGAAAGCACATATGAGTGGATTAATACCAAAGGGCATATGTTATTTTTAAAAAGCTGGGAAACAAATCTGTCTGCAAAATGGCTTCAATTTAAACTAATTCTAATGATTTTTTTTTTTCATGATTCAACTTGAACATTCGTAATCATCTGAGTGAATACGCCGCCATTCTTAATCATCAGAAACAGTCTGAGCTGGACTTATAAAACTAAAATAAAAATGAATATAAAGAGCGTATAATAGTATTGACATACATAAGGAGAATCATATTCAAATGATAATTTCAATTACTGTAGTAATTATAAAATTTTCGATTAATCAATAACAAAAAAAAATAAACTTCCCTACCTTCGCTAGTGAGGGAGCAAAAGGAAATGGCCTTTTCTGAAAAGAAAGCAGTAAATGTTTAAAACTCTGCAACGAATCGTCCGATTTCGATAATTTTTTATTTTTATTTTGTCGGCAATTCAGGAATCTTTCAAATAATTATAGGTATTATCCATCAAAAAGTGTGTACTCTTTTAGCTATCGGCAAATAAAATATTGAATTCATCGTAACATTTTTCAGCTTGTTTTCGGGAAACTATGTTATGTTATGCACATAAATTAAAAGGGTTACAACTTTAGCCAAGTTTTGTTAAAGCCGTTTTGGCGCTACAGTTTGTAGCGACACATTTTTTTGCAGCTTTGAACAAAAAAACATTTACATTTTTATTTTTTTTACATATATAAAATTATCGTAGGATAGAAGTACTAGGCCATAAACCTTTCCAGGAGTGTACGGAACAACTTTCCAAAGGTTCAAGGCGATCGTATGAATGGTTTAGTAATGCATAAAGCACAAACAGACAGGCACATACATACATTCATTTTTATGTATATAGAAGATACTTTATTTACCACTTGAATTCTATTTCTATTCGAATTTACATGATTTTATATCCATGCAAGTACACAAATTCACTATTTTTTATAAATACTGATTTTTTCGGCATTATTATTTGCAGTGACCTTCAAGGTCCATTCATGAAAATATCCATTTTATTACTAAACAACGAAGATATTAATTATATTAAAATGTCTGAAAACCAACTATCTAAAATACTTATCACTGGAAGGGGGTATCCAGACACGTATTTATTAATTTTATCTTATAATCAACTTCTTATCTGTATCCTTATTCGGATGTGAATAGTTTTGCAAGATAAGAAAGGTTGCAATCAAAAGTTAATCATCCCTCAACCGAAGGGTGGGGGTAATCTTCGGTGGAGTTCCGTTGTTTGTTTGAGGTTCCGGAGGTAAGAGAATTCAGTGAGAGAAACAACTTATGAGACATAGATCCTATCAATAATAGGATACATGAGGCTATCCATAAATATAATAATAATGTTTCAGTAGTAATTCCTAAACATATATAATAAGAATTTATGGTTTCTATTAAATTAAAAATTACTAGTAGATTAGGATGGGGTTATAGTCCTCAAAACGAGCAAATTATTTTCACTAAAATTCAACATTGCTATAAACAAAATTAATACCTGTACGAAAATAGATTGAAACTCAGTCTTGCTTTAAAATATAACTTACAAATATAAAACAATAGATCAAACACACAAAAGTCCGCATTTTTTTTTCTTTTTTAAGAAACCGAATTAAGTATTAAAAAAAAAAAACAAGGAAAAACTACATAATTTTAGTTCAATGGAATTTAAGTCTATTTTACTAGCATACTTTAATTAATTGTAATTAAAAAGAATTGCGGTGAAGGGAACTTATTATTAGTATAAATTAAATTATCATGAGATATAAAATAAGTTATAAGAAAAAAATATAAAATTGATACCACAAAAATATGTTCACACGATCACTTCAGTCATCCATTATCGTTTAAACATATACACAAAATTAAACAGCACTCACCTGAAATAAAAAAAAAAAACAGATCTAATTAGAAGCCAATTATACATAAAAATATGTATATTATAATATTATAAGAAATGAGAGAGGGGAAATGCTAAATTGATTTCAATATCTATCAAAAGCATACGCATCTTTCTTATTGGGGAAAAGGGAGAAGACAGAAAATTGAGGAAAATCTCAGGTAGATAAAAGATTATAAACTCTATAATATTATATTCCTAGTACAAACTAGTAGACATTGTTGCGCGATTTGTCTATAGACTGTCTAGAAACACGATCGGGAGGCTTTATGCTTGCGATTTTTAGTCACGCAACAGGCCTGTAGACAGGAATATACTTATATATACTTATACCCTCAGTCTATACTTATATCCTCGCCCACACTCTCTGGCCCGGGAAAACCCCGTATAGCCTTAACGGCGAGGAAGGGAGGACAAAAAAAAAAAAAAAATCACATGCAATGGGGTAGTTAGGCTAATTTAAATAAAATATTAATTTAAGTAAAAAGTGTTTTAATTATAATTTCTAATTTCTTGATGCAAAAAACGCGCAACGTGTCGACTAGGGTAGACCAGGCTTTCAAGGCAAGGAAGGCAGGGACAAAAAAAAAAGTACTTGTTTTATATGAAATGCAAAATAGAACAATTTAAAAAAAAGGATAATTTTCCCGAATTTTCGGCAAACCTTTTGTATTGGTTTATTTTCTTTTAGATTATTTAGATGGGCAACGCCTCCCCCCCTCCCTGCGCAAATGAGGTCCGTATTTTATTCTGGCCTATTTATTTATGTATTTTATTCCTGGCCTATAAATGGAAACAACTTTTGAGGCAGCCAATAAATGGAGAACAACTTTTGTGACAGTCAAGATCCAGTAATCGATTGCAATGGTGGTGATGATTCACTGTTTGATTCGATTTTCAGCCGACATTCGTACCATCTTGATTTACCATACAGTCAACCATCAAAACATAATAAGAAAAAATGTTATTATAAAAACCTCTTTGGCGTGCATAGTACCGCACGATTTCCACATCAGCAGATCCGATCGTAAACTTCACGGTTAGACTTGAAGATGAGGGAGTTTATTGACGCCAATGGAACAAATAGGTTAGTGAACTACTTCAGTCTGGGCTTTTTTTTTACAATTTGTCGTTATTTTTCTTGATTAATTAAGAGCGAGCTACTCTTAATACAGTACAGGAATCGCTGAGAAAGATACATCATTAAATCATTGTAATATTTTATTCTTAAAAAATGATGGCATATTCAACAATTGGATTTCGAAAAAAAAATGTTTAATTTGTTTTTCATATCTTTTTGTTTCTATTCTTGCGTCGTTAAAAATATCCTTATAGATTTTGACTGACGACATTTCGATTTAATAAGTTTTAATTAACTGCGTGAACCGCAAAACTCCGATTTACCCTCAGTCTACTTGTATTTACAAATCTCTAAAACATACCAAAAAAAAATTATTCATATGTGAAAAACTTCGAATCCGATTTTTCGACGGCAATCCAAATTTTAAGATAAACCTGAGTTCAAATGGACGAGTATCGCTAAATTAACTCAAAATAGTCGTACGATAGTGGAATTATTTATAAGAGTTAGGCATATGCCTGGAATATTCCAGCTTCTTTTTTGTAAACATCCATTTTCTGAAAGTAAAAATACGAATTATCAATTTTACACATTTAAGAATTTTCTATAAAACTGCTTTACCGATTTTAGTTAAAATTATATATTTCATTTGATTAAATTGCAATAATTAAGACTCTCTTTGATAGTAATAATGAAAAATGACTAAATATGATCTATGGACGAATTTGGTAATTAATTAAGGCAGATTTATGTATTTTTGTAATTTATTTTTTTACTTTTTTTTATTTATTTTCATTATTATTTTTTTTAAAGTATTTTTTGTTCTTTTCTTAATTGATTCAAGACAAATTTTCATAAATTAGATTTACAATATACATATATTACAAGTCTAATTTGTACTCATGTGCATTATACCGTTGAAAAGTTAAGGTTTTAGAAAAAAAAAATTATAAATAATAAATTCGTAAAAACTACAAAGAAAATTGTGTTATCTTGTAAGCAATGATTAGTATCGATTATTGGTTAGAAATAAATTTATCCGTGTAAATTTATTCATTACTCATTAAAAAATATTTATATTTCTTTATTATACATAAATGTATTAAATATTTTATGATTACCTAACTAAATTCCATTATTCCTTTGTGATAAGTTCCATTTTAACAGTTTCCGCGAAACATTTTAGGAAAAGAGTTTAATTTTAACTGTTTCTGAAAAACTTTTTTGTAATAAAGTTCCAGGTTTATGGGAACAGTTTAGCATTTATTTATTTAATTTGTTAAAGAACGTTCCGTTAAAGGGAAAATAAACAGTAATTGGGCTTAGATTAAAGGTACAATTTGTTTTTAGATTGGCTTTTTAGCGAAATAAAATAAAATATTTACTTGAGAAGTATCAAGGGAAAATGTTCTAGTTCTAAAACAACTGAAAAACTATAGACCATAAAAATTCCGTTGATACAGAAACTTTTTAAAAATAAATTTTGTTTTTCTTTTTAAGTCTTTGATTTTGCATATTATTTCATACCAAAATCACCATTGCATTAACGAAGCGTAATTTAGTGTCTCGGAAAATACTTACAAGACTTTAAAAAAATAAAGTATGCCAGTGTAGAAAACTCATTATGATCAGAAAAGACAAGTTTAACGTAAACCATCGTTTACTCAAAACTTAGTTTTAGTCTCTTATACCCCTTTACTACGAAGGGCCGGCCTTATCTAAACTACGAATAAGAACGTTCAATGAACTGGCCAACACAAGTTGCTGATTTGTTATCTAACGAAGATGGGGAAAGCTGAATGCAATCACAGCCTGTATACGATGTCTTCTTAACGCTCAATAGTTCTGCTGCAACAATGCGAGCGCAAACTAGACAGAGACAATCTCGATTCAATAAGTCTTATCAAGTTGATAGCCCTTTGCAATGCTATATCTATAATAGCTTTATTGTTTCTTCGGCAATTGTTACACATAACGGAAGCAGCAGGAAATCGCTAATCGGACTATGGTATGCGTTGATTAAATTAAACATGATATAAAAAAATAATAAATGGTTCAACATTCCTTAAAAGATACGAAGTTAACAAAGAGGAACTATTTGCATCAGTAAATGTCATAGTGACTACCAAATTATTGATTGAAATTCCAGACAGTGCAATAATAAACCAATCTAATGAACCGACGCATACTGGAAATATCTGTTACATTTATACGTATCTACTGTAACGGATCCAGGATTTAATTTTGGGATAAGGTCTTTTTTTTCATAACGGTAATTAATTCGTAAAAAAATGTAAAATGTCATCATATTAACAATGATTTTAGAAATAATAGACAGTGATAATAGTTATGTGTTATAGTGTGACAAGAGTAAATATTGTTATTGTTTGTCAGCTCGGATTAGTCAGAGAACAAATTTAGAACAATAAAAAAATTATTTTTCTATTTAGTAGAGGGGAGTGGGAGCTTCCACCTGAAAGACTAGTGCGTATCTAAAACCTATTCATTATTACATTCTATAAACTAAAAGTGTAGAGATTATTAAATAAATAAATTAAATAAAGTGTAGGAAAGATAAAAGACTAAATTTGATTATTAAAATCACAACTAAATAAAAAAAGTTGTATATGTGTTTCTATTCCTTAGTGATTTTGTTACATAGAATGTTAATGATGAAATATTATTTAAATTTTCAATTAAAACAACACAAAGAAAATTAAGTTTAAGATATTTTGAAAACAAGCCCAAAAATATTAGTCCGTGGTACGGACCCCTTTTTATAAAATTATTAACATCCGCCTAAAACTTCGTAAATAGCTTCAACTAATCTTATCCGACAAATATTTTATTTTCGAAAATTCTCAGAATAGGAGAGTTTTCAATCTGGAGGTCGGCAAACTTTGCCTTTGTCTTTTTAATTAGGCAGTAAAAATTCATGTATACCTTTCCGCTTGAATCGTAAGATAATTTGAGCACGAAATCAAGAAAAAAGGCGGCCTTCAAGAATATTGGGCCGTTTGGCGTGACCTACACCCCCATGTCAAAATACCGAGGTTATATAGACCCAACGGCCCAATATTTTTCTAGGCTACCTTTTTTCTCGATTTTCTGATCAAATATCTTACGACCCAAGTAGATAGCAAATGGGTATTTAAGAAGTTTTTTTAGTACCTAATTAAATAGACAAAGTTGGCGATCCCCAGAATGAAAACGCCCCAATTCCGAGAGTTTTCGTAAATAAAATAGTTGTAGGTTGCTATGAGATGAAGCTGTTCATATAGTTTTTGAAGGATGTTAATAATTTGATGAAAAAAACGGGCTGTACCACGGCCTATATGTTTTTTTAGAATAATAATAAACACAAGAAGGTGTCATAGTCTCACTAAATATAATTGCGTATTATCATCATGAAGGTGGATATTTATAGCTGTTGGATTAGATATTGAACGACTCTATTAAGAAAATTAACTGTGGACCGATGGGTAAAATCCAGTTTATAACTTAGGATTTAACGGAGTTAAGTTCTAATAGATCTAATAGGCCTCTTTACAATTAATCTTTTTTTTTTTTTTTTTTTTTGGTCTTCCCTACCTCGCCTTGTAGGCTATACGGGATTTTCCCAGGCCGGAGTTTGAGGGCGGAGAATTTTAAATCCCCTCCGGCACCGGGACGCGAACTCGTACTTTTTAAATCTTCTCAACTCTGTAATCCGGTTGCCAGGCAACTCGCGGTGCTGTGCACACGCTTTAGCCCCTTCGGCCACACCGCCCTCTCTTTACTATTAATCGAAAATCTTTTCCTATGAAGTTGATTTAAAAATAATTTTTCAAAAATGGAAACATCAATAAATGTCTCTCATACCAAGTATAACACTTAAGGGAAAATAATACATTATATCCTTGAATAAAATCTAACCGAGCATGTTTCATTTAAATCGAAAAACATTGGAAAAAAACTCTTCTAGATAATGATAAAACGACATATTTTATATGACAAGTCTAGTTATGAATGCAGTGTATAAAAAAAATAAATCTGATATTCAGCAACTGGCCTCTTTTTCTGCTTTCTCAGTTTTTCTCCTTCTTAAACTGCTAAGGTTAGCACACGGTGAGCATTGTGGGGGCTCTTGTCGATTCATCCATCTCATATAAAAATATTTTGTAAAAATTTATGAAAGATTTTTGTGCAAATTAGGATTAGACGCTTCATGAACTCGTCTAAAGTATATTCAATCATAGGTAGAAGACTTGCGGTAAAATTTGACAACAATTTCATGGCAACATCGTCTAATAAATTCTTTAGATCAAGTGTTTTTTTGTTTTATTTATTGAAATTAGTTAGTATTTAAATTTTTAAATATTGTTTAATTCTAATTTCTTCATCATTTGCTTAGACAAGGTGTTGTGGAGAATATCTTTGGCGGGTTTTGAAAGTTGTATCAAATATTACTTACCTTTTGATAATAAGGCTTTATTTACCTGATTCCACATCGTTCTTTGTGAAATAACTAATTAAATGAACATGATCTCATGACCAGTAATATTCCTTACGTATAACATTATAATTAACAAACAATATGTAATGAGGATAGCACTCAAACAGAAAGGACACTTATGAGGTAACTTCCATGACAGATTTCTAGGTCACTGAATAAATTGAAATTGTAACATATAATTTTTATAGAATATTAATAGTTCTCATTTTATTAATTATTTCTAAAATGAAAAACTAATATCCCAATATCTGAAAATTACTATAATTCTATCTTGAAATTAAACTTTTTTTTTATTCTATTTACAACTTTTTACACATATTCAGTAAGTAAATCTGCTAAAATAATATAAAACATGATAAGAACTTATGGATAAGATACCCATTGGTAACGATTCAAATATTAGATTAATTTAAGAGGTCCCTTGGCCATCTTTTTGTTGTCAGGAATTGTATTGGATGCAAGGTTATGAACTCGAGGATTGGGATGACTAAAG